GGGATTCAGACATTTCGACGAGGGACTATTGGGGCCTGTGCTGAACACTTGGTGTTGACGACATTCCCATCTTCCCCTCTTCTTCGTCTAACCCCCCATCTCCTTCGTCTGTGTATGTTTGGGGCTGGCGCAGTCTTCCTGTGTGAAACGCCAGACCCCTTCACACCATGGGATGAGGATGATGATGTATGTTTGGGGCTGCATTGCAATATTGATTGTTCGGATCATTGGTATCTAAGTCTTCCGCTGTGCTATCTTATACCTTGTATTGAAAGGTCGGTTCTTGTTCTGGTCTGCACCTATACGGTATGCAACACCTGATGTGCAATTATGATGACCGGTCGTTGCCTCGGCACAACCAACAGCAGAATGCCGTTCCACCTCGGCTTAATATGTCACATCAGCGAGTTCTCATCATCCCGTATGCACCCCGTATGTTACCACATAGCTCCCTGGCGCGCCCACTCTACCCTGGGCCGCCTTATGTTCAACGCCAATGCCTTATCACTGCCCCACACCTCATGCGAAGCACCAATAGCTATTGCGAAGAACCAATGAAGCGCAATATGAACCAGCTCCGATACCAAATTGCAAGGAAAATAAGCAACAGCGAGATGACAATTCCAGATTACACCATCACATTGAAAGCCAGATAGTCACACCGTGTCCAGAGAGCAGCATTGCACCAATAATACACCAATGGAGGTTCGTAGTACTGAAAACCAATGTCATGGAGAGCATACTCTCTCCTCATCAACACAAGAGTCCAGTCCCTCCGCACTCCTACTTGGCGCTCAGCGCCCCGCCTACTCCTAGCACAGCTACTACAGCCTACTAATTGACAATGCAACTGTTGACATCAGCAGCAACCCGAAGTACTTGAAGATGTCGCCCATGCAGACCATTGCCAATACAAGGTAAGTGCCCTCACATCATCATCATCATCATCCTTCACCTATCCCCTGACTTTACACCCACGTTTGTCCTCTCTTACACCCGAAGACCACCCCTGCGCCTCACTGTAGTCCGAGCCCACCAGCTATGGTGGCTGGACTATGGCGCTGCCCTCAGCAGCGCCCTTCTTCCCTGCACGACCGCACGTGCTGCACCTCGCCTCTCAGCGCCAGCCAGCAGCCGCGAGCTCTTGCTCCAGCAGCGCTGCCGCTAGCATGCGAGTGCCTGAATGAGGCTGCCTGGGGAGAGCTCTTTCCTTTATGGAAAGAGCTGGCCTGCTCGCGCAGCCTGGCTGCGCTGGCCTGGGCCCAGAAACTTCCGGAAGGCCCCTGGAGGCTGCCTGTATGCAGCAGCTACTGGGCTGCTGGGCCTCGTTCGGTTGGGCGCCCAACTGTCTCTGTATGAGGCTGCGAATCACGCCCAGGGCCTGCATTCTTTGGAAAAGGCCGGAAGGCCGTGGAAATGTCTTTGTGGCCCGGCCTGAGTTTCTCTCAACCAACTGGCGCGTCGCAACTGCCTGGACCCCAAATATGAAATTGACAGTCGGGGGCCTCTGGTGATATGTTAGGCCCGCCTTCACTTAGGGCGGGCACCTCCACCTTCACTTAGGGCGGGCAATGCTGCAAACAGGGCCCCATAGGCCTACCGAGGACACAGATCCTCGCACAGTCGCCAGGCTGTGCGGGGTGCTCCAAGCAGCCGGGCGGCTGTCGTGCCACAGATTTCGTGACGACAAAAACCATGATGGTGTACCTTTCCATGTTCTAGCGGAAGATTCACTCTCGTTTTGCACATTTCGAGAGTGGCAGAGGGATCGTTTTTTTGCTTTGTTTTTCTTTTTTTTGCCTAAAATAAAGTATCCTGTATTTCTCTTGTTGCATTTTTGTGCTTTGTGTTTTTTTTTTTTTT